TTAAAAATGGGAGGTGAAAGGGCCTCATAAGTGGAATAGCCTAGGGCCTCTTTTCATCTAAATCCGGCCCTGACTACGGTATATTTGTTTAAAGGCCATGTCACAAACAAGAAGATTGTATATTTTAGCCTTTTTAATTATGTGAACCTAGACTAAATAAGTTTCCTTTCTGTTCCCTACTCCCAGGGATTTCCAAGGGTTAGAAAACTTTGTTTCTACTTTTCATTTCATTTTTCTACTTCAAACTGAGCTGGTAGTGCTAATTTTAACTGCATTGTAATGTCCTCTAATCCACAGTCCAAGGACTCAAGATAATCTAATAAAAGGTTTTAGAAGACTGTACTTTCAGATGAAGACTTGCAAGATGGTTAGCAGCATTTTAATTGAATAATCATATAGTTGGGTTTTCAAATGAAAACAAATACAACCATAATTAAAAACCTCTATTTTGAATGCAAGCCTATTATGTAGCCCCAAGCCTAAAACTGACACAGGCTAAACAAATAATATCTTCTTCAGTGAAAGAAATAAGTCTTTATTAGAGGAGATATGATGAAACATACATATTTGGGAACCCAATGAATGCAGGAAGTACATTCCATTGGCTCACATTTTGGTCTGAGGTACATATTCTGAAGGCACAGAAAATATCATGTTCAATTCGATTGGTCGAAGCTCCAGCAAAAGAATCTTAAAAAGCAGATGCTTTGTCTAGAGCATGGGTCGTCAACCTGGTCCCTACCGCCCACTAGTGGGCGTTTCGGGATTCCAGGTGGGCGGTAGGGACTTCAGAGGTTAAAACCTCCTTTTGAGTGAGTGGGCACGCGCGAGCGCACACATCAATAAACCAACGTGCACGCAAACAAGCAAACACGTGGGAAGAGGAAGGGGAGGAGTGGAAACTGATTGCAGGGATAGGCAGATAAGTTTTGTTATCTTATAAAATAAAGCGGAGCAGAGCAGTTGCAAAATAGGAGAAAGAAAAGTTATAAGCAGGAGAGAATTGTTGTTGGCTAATAATAAGAAGTGGGCTAACTAGCTCAGCCTTACTTTTGTACATTGCCCTAAGGAAGGTTAAAAAAAAGAAGATAAAAAGGAAAAGATAAAAAAAATTAACAAAAAAAGGGAAGAAAAATAGAGAAAAGGAGATAAAATAAAGGAGGAGAGTAAGCAGTGTTTAGTGTGGCCCCCTAAATTAAATTTTGTTACCTTATAAAATAAAA